GAGACAAATCGAAGCCGTTTAATCTCACCGGGGCAACGAAAAAACACACGACACAAATCGAAGCCGTTTAATCTCACCGGGGTAACGAAAAACACACGACTCAAATCGAAGCCGTCGGCAAAAGCAAAACGGCTTCGATCTGTGTCATTTACACACTACTTTAAACACTCCTGTCCCTATCTGCAGCAGGGGTGTTCTGCGTGTGTTCTTGGGCGTTTTTCAGCCTGTGTCCTGTGATGTAATTCTTTGTCTCGGTCTATTGCAGTTGTTCGTACCCCTTGGTTCGGGTACTGTTCTGGCGGCGACCCTTCCGCCTTCTTTGGTTTCCTAGCTTGCCCTGCCGTTTTTTTTTTTGGGGGGGGGGGTCTTGCGATGTCTCGCGTCGGACCCGTCGTTTCTGAACTCCTGGCGGGCTTGCGTGCTTTGGGGAGCTTTTCTGTTCGGCAGACGTTCCATCTCCTTGTGCCGCCTGGTTTTCGGTGGTCACGCCCGAGATCTTCCCGCGGCTCCGCCTTTTCCTGGGCTCGGAGGGGCCTTGTCGGGGTCTCGTCTCCGGTTGGTGGTCGGGTGGCTTCGTGGTAGGTGTCCCACCTGCGTGCTTCTCTTGGCGGCAGTATGGGGTATTCTGGCGGTCCTTCCTTTTCCTGTCCCTTCTTAGGTGGTTACTCATGTTAGCTTGGTGTACTCTCGGCTTGGTTTTCTGGTGGGGATTGGGGGCCGTCGTCTTGCCACATACTGTCGCCTCTTTTCGTGTGGCGCTGGCGGAGCCGCTTCAGCTTGCTTTCGATCTTGGTGTTGCTTCTGCACTGTTAGTAAGCTGTCTTGTGCGTCGTTTCACCTCCGGCCTGTTCGTGCACCGCTTGCACCATCCTGGTCTCTGGTCAGCATGCTCTGTCTTCTCCTCGGTTGGTAGTGCCCCTTCGGTTCCGGTGTGTTTTTTCGTCGGCTCTTTCCTTTTGGCCTTTGCCTCTGGGGGTCGAGTCGCTGAGTTTTCTTGCTCCTTCGGTTTTACCGTTTTAGTTGTTCGGTGGCAGCAGTCTCCATCTTTTCTGGCGCAGGGTGGGGCTGCTGCGTTCTGGAGGGGTCCAGGGTTTGTTGGTGCTTCGTTGGTCGGGCCGGGGGTGTGTCGTGTTTTGTGTTCAGTGGCGGCCCTCCGCTGTTGTTTGCGTGCCACGGCGTTTGGGTCAGGAGCGCGTTTTGCGTTGATCCGGTTCTGTTCTTCCCGGTTCGCGGGTGATGGTGTAACGGGTGGTCAGCCGTGTTCTTGCGGCTAAGCTGCCTGTGTTCTTCCCTCATGCCTGTGGCGTTTGTGGCTTCGCTGCTCTCGCTGCCGTCTGGGCGACGTGGCCTTGCGGTCTTTCGGGCATGGATTTTTGGTGTTGCCTTGCTGCCTTGCTGCTCGTTGTTCTCGTGTTGTTCCCGGGACTTTTCGGGGCTGTGGCGCCATGGGTTGGCGTTTGCTGCCGGTTGTCTCGCTTCCGTGGGGGGTGCGTGGTCCACCTCCCGGTTCTGTCCCTTTGACCTTCCTCTGTGGGTAGTTAGCTCTGGGGAGCCGACGAGGCTCCTCCCAGAAAACCAGCGTTGAATGTAATGAAACGCCATTTTCTGGGTGAGACCCGGAGGCTCCCCGGCAACCCTCCCTCCCTCCGGTCGGCGGTTTTTCGCGTGTTTTGACATCCAGCCTCAGAACTGATGGGTGGATAGCCGGCGTGGGAGGTCTGGGGCTCCCCCTTCCCCCTCCCGGGGAGGGGGGAGCTGCGCAGACAGCGGCGTGGTGACGTATGACGTCATACTAGTTTCCTTGTTTTCTGTTGAAGAGTTCTATCCACTAGTTCGGCTTTAGGTAGCAATTTTCACCAGAATAGGGGTTTGTTTTGGAATGCTTACCTTTCTGGATGCTTGACCCGGTCGATGGCAGACATAGAATGCTTCCAACCACACGGGGGTTTCTATAGGCCATTGCTCCCCTTGCCTCTCTGAGGGGGCCAGGTTCTGGCCGTGGTCCCCGGTAGGCCCTAGAACTCCATACACATGACTGATGCCAAAGTCTGACATTAGCATATCAGCCGGTAAAGCTCCAGGGAGCCTCCGGGTCTCACCCAGAAAATGGCGTTTCATTACATTCAACGCTGGTTTTTTGTGATGTATGTGGAGCAAGAATTCAAGTATCAGAAAAAAATCAAGAAAAATACAAATTAAATTAATTTAATTATATCAAATAAATTACTTTAACACTTGTACACATCTGGCTTGTACACTATAACACACAAAGGAAAAATACTGAAATCAACTCTTTGTACACAGAAAAAGACTTAAACAAGGTTAATTCAGTCAAATTGACTACTGGATATTTTACCAAACAACACAACCTGGGCTGCTCAGTAATGAGTTGAAGTGCCCACCCCGGAGCTTGAGAGACTGATTCATACACACTGAGCGCCACTGTTTATTTAATGTATCCCCCACCCCCTTCCCCGGCGTCTAGACAGTAACTTCACATTATCAACACGAAAAACTGGCGACTAAATAAGCACTTTGTGGGGGGGACACCAAGCAATTTGATCTGTTTGTGGACTTCTGGCATTATATGCCCTGTTATATTCTATATATACATGCACTAGAGTTCACAAACTTGTATCACTAGATTACCATAACTTGTGTGTAATCGACAACCTTGGATCTGCCCAGATCCACTAGGAGTCTAAAGGCACTGAGCCTTACAATCCAAGTTTTACACGTAACCCACATACACTCTGGTGTAGGTACGGTAATTGAGTTCTCCATTTAGTGCTCCCTTCAAATACACAATGAAATCACAAAAATGTGATATATCTACAAGGACCCCTTTTGAGGAGGGTTAGTATCAAACCAGTCCTGGGCATCCCCAGAAGTTCACCCTAACCCATGGACCATGATATGTTAAAGGTTATAGAACCTGGGATCTGCCCAAATCCACTAGGAGTCTGGAGGCACCAAGGTAAGGAAATGATGTTCTAGAATCTGGAGAAGCCAGAATTGATTAAAGAACTGAAACGATTATTGGAAAAACCAGTCTTTCAAGGAAAAGACCTGAGCGACTTTGTCACCTGCCGTATACGTACATTCTTTAGATTGTTCGGGGTCGGTGACGTGGAGGAATACTGCAGCCATGCACTAAGAAACTCCATAAATGCCCTTAATAGTATTGGTTTGTTAGAGAACAGCAAAGTGGTGCTATTCCTCCAACCTGCCCTCTCAAATAGTACTGTACATCACATTTTGAGGTAAAAATCCCTAACAGCCAAAACATGACATAATATAAATCATAATTGCTCACAAAATTGACGAGCTCTCACGTTTTCTATTTGTGGGTCCTCGGCCACAAATATAACAGCCCATCATATTCACATATAGTGAAGTGAAGGGCAATCACACACAGATCACACTAACTATTCAAATATTACTATTTGAAGGGCAATGTTTGTTATATTCCTGCCACCTAATGTCTTCCATTTCTTCCCTCAACAACAAAAAACATACTTGCCCAAACATTACTAAGATTGTATGTGGAGAAATATCATAGACCCATGACGTCTATATTTGATATATAGGTATTTTCATTACCAATACCTATATAATATTCTGTAGTTTCAAAACATCCAGCGAAAGTAAAATCTAGTACTGTAACATATTTTGGCACATAAAACTGTGATTAGAACAAAGCTTATCAGACAAGGGAATGTCACGGGCATAGCCATGTATATTTTGATCTATACTATACATCATTTCATTTCCATACTATTAGGCAACACTCCTAAAATAACATACAGTACCTGGTTGTTGGGGGATCAGGCCCATGAGTTTTCAGCAACTAGCATCTGGGGATGTTAGACACGTACCAGTTACTATATCACAATGTTCGGTAGCTAATTTCTCGGGAACTGCTGAATATTTAGATCTGCTAATGAAGGGCATTGTAGCAGGGTTCAGTAATATTTAGTGGTGTTTTCATATTGTTTGCTGACTTTTCCCGCTTCTTCCTACGAATCCAATGTTTGATCCTTTATTCCTTAGGAATGAACCACCGACAGTTGAGGGCTGATAATTGATATACAACATAGCATTGTGTGATATGTGACATTGGAATGTTCAATTAATTTGGAAATACTGTATTATACTTTGTGTTATTTTCAGGATACGAGTCAATTTCACCACAAATCTCTGTTACTATTTATTAACCATAATACACCTATCAAGGTACAGTACATCCCAGTAATTCTACAGTTTAGATAATGTACATCTGCCTCAAAACAAATGAGCTACTTAAATCGAATACAACCATTTAAAATTTGACAACAAAAATAACAGATTTTTGTAAGAACCATGCAGTAAAGCATTTAAGTTCATAATATTTATTCATACAGGTTTTTACTAGATACTTTTTGTATTTCAAAATGTTTTCCCATTTTTTGCTTTTGTTTTATACAATAAGGATATGAACAAATACTCCTTTGACATACATACTAATAGAAAAATATAACTGAATTAGAAAGCCAAGACGTTAAAACCAACTCCGTACATAATTTCCACAGTAGGAAAGCTTGCACACAAACACCAAAGTATGTATGGTAGATAGAAGGAAACGACATACAAAACTGGGCCAAAAATCGACAAAGTGGACAAAGAGGAATATTTAAAACATTTAGCTTCAAGAACAAGAGGTCACAGACCGAAGCTAAGAAAGCAAAGGTGCCAAAGATGTTAGAAAGTTCCTTTTGCAAACAGATTTGTGTATGTTGGAATTATTTAAGTAAGAAAGTGGTTGCTATCAGAACCATCAGCAGTTTTGAGGAGTCATGTGACATAGGAAATAGGAAACATGGAACACCATGGGCATAGCTCTCATCCAGTAATTACAGAAAATGTGTACCCTGTATTCTTAAAAATATACATTCAATTATTTGTATTATTATTGCTAACAATGCAATTAGCAATGTTACAAATCATGCATTGAGACTCACCTGAGCATCATTCTGATTCCAACCATCTATAGTTGTAGGAGGGTTAGGATGACTGGGGGCTGGAGTTGGATGAGGGGGAAAGCCTTGAATCGGCCCTCCTATTGAAACCTGGCAGGAAGAACAACCAACCAACTCTAATCAATTGACAGGTATTATACAAATGAGATTACAAGTTAATTAAATACCTACTCAGGGTTTTCTTACACTCATCTGTGCAGAACACTGTCCAATAAACCATATATCAGCATGAAACTAAACTGTATATTAAATACTTAAAAGTAATATAGTTAAAGGGCAGCCATCAAAAATTACATCTTCAAAACTGATTAGTGTACCATATATTATTAGCTTTTACACAGGTCTAGAAGCTCAGTTATTTAAAATTTACAAATGGCCATTTATACAAAGAAACTTAATCTGATGTTTCTTCAGTATTTTATATACAAACTATACATAGGAAACAAGACAAAGCACAGTAAAACTAGGGTTATCTTGAGTAATCTTGAGATGATTTCGGAGCTTAGTGTCTTCGTGGCCCGGTCCTTGACCAGACCTCCACCCCAGGAAGCAGCCCGTGACAGCTGACTAACTCCCTGGTACCTATTTACTGCTAGGTAACAGAGGCACAGGGTGAAAGAAACTCTGCCCATTGTTTCTCGCCGGTGCCCGGGATCGAACCCGGGACCACAGGATCATGCGTCCAGTGTTCTGTCCGCTCAGCCACCGGCTCCAATCTGTCACACCTGGTTGATACCTGGTTGATGGGGTTCTGGGAGTTCTTCTACTCCCCAAGGCCAGGCTTGACTTGTGAGAGTTTGGTCCACTAGGCTGTTGCCTGGAGCAGCCCGCAGGCCCACATACTCACCACAGCCCAGTTGGTCCGGCACTCCTTGGAGGAATAAATCTAGTTTCCTCTTGAAGATGTCCACGGTTGATCCGGCAATATTTCTTATGCTTGCTGGGAGGGTGTTGAACAACCGTGGACCTCTGATGTTTATACAGTGTTCTCTGATTGTGCCTATGGCACCCCTGCTCTTCACCGGTTCTATTCTGCATTTTCTTCCATATCGTTCACTCCAGTACGTTGTTATTTTACTGTGTAGATTTGGTACTTGGCCCTCCAGTATCTTCCAAGTGTATATTATTTGCTATCTCTCTCGTCTTCTTTCTAGTGAGTACATTTGGAGGGCTTTGAGACGATCCCAATAATTTAGGTGCTTTATCACGTCTATGCGTGCCGTATATGTTCTCTGTATTCCCTCTATTTCAGCAATCTCTCCTGCTCTGAAGGGGGAAGTGAGTACTGAGCAGTACTCAAGACGGGACAACACAAGTGACTTGAAGAGTACAACCATTGTGATGGGATCCCTGAATTTGAAAGTTCTCGTAATCCATCCTATCATTTTTGTGGCTGTCGCAATAATTTGCTTGGTTATGCTCCCTAAACGTTAGGTCATCAGACATCATTATTCCCAAATCCTTTACATGCCGTTTTCCTACTATGGGTACATTTGATTGTGTTTTATACCCTGTATTATGTTTAAGGTCCTCATTTTTACCATACTTGAGTACCTAGAATTTATCACTGTTAAACTTCATGTTATTTTCTGATGCCCAGTCGAAAACTTTATTAATATCAGCTTGAAGTTTTTAAATGTCTTCAGCCGAGGTAATTTTCATACTGATTTTTGTGTCATCTGCAAAGGATGATACGAAGCTGTGACTTGTATTTTTGTCTATATCTGATATGAGAATAAGGAAAAGCAGCGGTGCAAGGACTGTACCCTGAGGTATAGAGCTTTTAACTGCACTTGGACTAGATTTTATATGGTTGAACGTTACTCGCTGAGTCCTGTTTGAAAGAATACCTAATATCCAGCATCCTACTTTACCGGTTATTCCCATTGACTTCATTTTGTGTGCTATCAAGCCATGGTCACATTTATCGAAAGCCTTTGCAAAGTCCGTGTATATCACATCAGCATTCTGTTTTTCTTCTAAAGCCTCAGTGACTTTGTCGTAGTGCTCAAGTAGCTGTGAGAGGCACGATCTTCCCGCTCGAAATCCATGTTGGCCTGGGTTGTGAAGGTCATTGGTCTCCATGAAATTGGTGACCTGACTCTTAATCACTCTCTCAAATACTTTTATTATGTGCGATGTTAGTGCAACTGGTCTATAATTCTTTGCCAATGTTTTGCTCCCTCCCTTGTGTAGAGGGGCTATGTCTGCTACTTTAAGTGCATCTGGTATCTCCCCCGTGTCCAAGCTCTTCCTCCACACTATACCGAGTGCCTGTGCTACCGGCACTTTGCATTTCTTTATAAATATTGAATTCCATGAGTCTGCATGGGCATGTTTTCAATTTCTCTTTCAAAATTTAGTGCGCTCGTGTTGATATCAGTTATATTTACAGGGGGTTTGAATATCCCGCATAAAGAAATTGTCTGGATCTTCCACTTTCATGTTGTTTATTGGAGTGCTAAACATGTCTTCATACTGCTTTTTTAGGATTTCACTAATTTCTTTGTCCTTATCCGTGTATGAACCTTCACTTGTACGAATAGGTCCAATACTGGCAGTGGTTTTTGCTTTTGATTTCGCACATGTGAAGAAGTATCTTGGATTTTTCTTTATTTCCTGAATTGCTTTCTGTTCTAACGGCCTTTCTTCAGTTTCATATGAGTGTTTCAACTTCAGCTCGATTTCTTCAATCTCCCTATTTAAATTATTCCTTCTTTGACGGGAAATTCGTGTCTGCATAAGCAGTTCCGTTATTTTTTTCCTGCGTTTATAGTGTCGTCTGCGTTCTCTTTCTACGTTGGATCTCATTCTGGCTTTCCTCAAAGGAACATGTTTCAGACAGACTTGATATGCTTCTGAAGTCAGTTTTTCTATTCCTTCTGTAGGACTTGTATTACTTAAAACAGTTTCCCATGGAATGTTTTTAAGTTCCCTGTTTATTATCTCCCAGTCTATCCTTTTATTATTAAAATTGAATTTACTGAATAGCCCCTCTCGCTTTATCAACGTTTTAGGTCTATTCTGAGTATTGATGGTTGTTTGCACTTCAATGAGCTTGTGATCTGAATATGTGGTATCTGATATCGTAATGTCTCTGATAATGTCTTCATTGTTCGTAAAGACCAGATCTAGAATATTTCTCGTTGGCTCCGATATCTGCCGATTGAGTGAAAATTTGTCACAGAATCTAAGTAGTTCTCTAATCTGTGGTTGGTTAGGTCCCAATAGATTTCCTGGTATAACATTACTGTTTGCTATTCTCCACCTGAGACTAGGCAAGTTGAAGTCACCTAGGAAGATAATATCAGGTATCGGGTTCTCCAAATTATCAAGGCTATTCTCTATTTTGTTTATCTGTTCTGTGAATTCCTCAGCCGTTTCATCTGGCAGTTTGTATATTAGAGTAATCACTAAATTTATTTTCTCTATTTTTAACCCTTAAATGGCGCATAACTATATACCATTTGACACCCACAGGCGCATACCAAAAAAATATTTTTTCTTCCTAACCTGTTAATTTGTGTTCACTGATCACGGGGAAAATAATAATAAAATCGTAAGTGGCATATATTGCCCACTATAGGGCGGGGAATTCTGGCAAATATCAGGCGCTGAATGAGCATGCGTCCCAGGCGGTCTGTTGATCGCCAGCTGTCAGGCCAGAGTTTCCACAGACATAATTACCTAATTATTTCAATGTCTCTGATTGATTTTTCGTAGTTTTTTTGCTGTAATATTATTCAATAGTGTGTAGTGTGATATATTTGTATAATAAAATGAGTGAATCATCGCTGTTTTTCAAAAATATGGTGTGCATATTGTTGATTCAATTATGTTCATCAAACAGTGAACAAATACTTTGTCGGTTATTACACTATATGCACAGGTTATATATAAGTATCTGCATGTTTTGTTCACCATGACGAACCACTAAGTTTAGTATGCTGAGTGGCAGTGGCAGACAGTGACTGGCTGCCACTGGCTGCCACTCCCTCACCTCACCTCACCTGACTTGCCACCATTCTCCACCCACCATACTGTTTTTGCTTTTATATATAGTTATATATAAGTATTTACATGTTTTGTTCACCATAACTGTACATCTAAGCTTGTATGGTGAGTAAAGGCATAAAGACGTAGCTACTCACAGTCAGCTTGTGGCGGCCGCCCTCAAGGCCAGACGCACTAATATTTCTCCTACAACAATACTGTTTGTGGTGTTATTACACTATATACACACATTATATATAAATATCTACCTGTTTTATTCACCATACTTGTACAAGTAAACTGGTATGGTGCCCAAAGACCATCGTGGTCATCAGTAAACAACATGATAAGTCCTGCAGACGACGCTCCTCCCTCACCAAAATGGCAGCTCCCAACCTCCTACTCTCGCTGTTATCTCACACTATACACACGTTATATATAAGTATCTACATTTGTGTTCACCATCGCGAACCACTAAGCTGGTACGGTGAGTGCAGTCAATAAAAGGTGGCCACACACACTCAAAAGACAACGCCACCATCCTCCCTCCCACAGCATTACTCCTCCCTCCATGGTGCACAGCGCCAAATATCACCACAATCCTGCTATTATCAGAACCCTGGTCAGTTTTATCACAGTCAGGGGTCTTCTGTAATAATATCATCACTACATAATAGCATGAACAAGTATATTATGGCATTTTTAGGCAATGCTGTGGTCACAAGCTGAACAGCAGTGCTGTGAGTTCATGCTGCGTGCGTCAGGCTTGGTAGCCGACTCAATACTGAGGCCCCTAACACCCGAGAGTTTGGCCCACGATTTTTTTTTAAAATGGCGTCTGTTTACAAGAGCCCTGATGAAGGTGTGGTGAACCCCGTGTATCCGCGGGCCATTTAAATCTTGCGTAATACTCCAAAGTATCACATGATGCGATGCGCAATTTACTGCAAGTCGGTCAAAGCATCATATGATGCGATGCGCAATTGAAGGGTTAATCCCAGTACCTCTACCACCTCATTTGAAACGTTTAGGAGCTCCGAGCATACAAGGTCTTCCCTAATATACAGACCCACTCCTCCATGTGACCTAATTTTCCT